CAGGCTGTGAGTGTGTGAGTGAGTGACCATAAGCCGAACCTGGGAGCAGCGTGTGTAACACGGTATCTTTTAGATAAGGCTAGGCCAGATCTGTGATCTGTTTCAGTCTGTCCCTCAAATTTATTATGTATGAGACTACACTCTCCTTTCCCTCTACAGGACTGACTAACCAGGTCTTTTTCATCGTATCCAGGAGATTTTTGTGATATGGAATAATTGATCTGCTGGTGCTCTAACTGCATGTTACAACCTTGACAAGATTATCCATGTTGTGGTAATCTTCTGCAACGGATGTTTAAAACTAATAAAAGTTGTGTGCAATTCTCTGGGGTGCCTTGTCTGTACAATGCACTCTGATGTATTTTAGGCAGTTTTTAATTTTCCCAAGCTTTCGAATTCTCAGTTTGATAGGGTTCTTTTTATTGTATTCTTAATTGAGCTCCACTGTATTTTAGGATTTCATTAATCAGCCACTTAGATCAAAAGTGGACATAGAAAAAGTGAGGGATCCCAGCAAATATATTGGCATAATCTATTTAGGTGCAAGTGAAAATCAGAAAATTCAGAAAACTTCATAATTATAAATCAAACAGCCCCCAACCTGAAATTAGACTTCAGTTCTTGTAAACATTATGCCCACTGGATGGTCCTGCTGGGGATGATGGGAGCCACAGTCCATAACATCTAAAGGACATCAGGTTGGAAACATTTTTCTTAGAATTACAGCTATGCCATAACCCTAAATCAGCTTCAAGAAAAGCCGTTTCATTTCATTTCATCAGGGTGCATAAGGCCGAGGCAAAAGGCCTGCACATTATCTTCTCAGTCATGTCTGTTCAGACTTTGAATGTTGGCTGCTCCCCTTTTCGCAGCCGTGGGGATATGTTTTGCTTTGCAATTCTGCGATACAACATCGCCGGAGAGCCATTTCTGCATTCACCCCATCTTCCTTGGATTGCTATAAAAGATCCAGTAAGCCCTTTTTAAAAGGTAGATCAGAGGGGCAGAGGTGACAGGCTGGGGATGGGAGTGGGAGGGAGG